CTGACTTGCTGTTTTAAATGAAAGAATCAGAATGTGTAAATTAGACACATGCAGAGTGACCTCTGTATTAAAATATCAGCACGTTTTAGGTATTTTTGGTATTTCTGTCTTCTTAAAGTGCTGATTGCTAGGTGCTGTCAGTTACACAGGAAGCCAAACCCAGGGAGTCCAAAGCATCTACAGTGAATGGCAGGTGTATTTGGAAGTCAGAAGAGACTACCTTTGAAAATAAGCCTAGAATCATTTTAAGACAGAGTCTCACCTGTCATCCAGGCTGGAATGTCGTGGTGCGTTCACAGCTCACTGTAGCCTCAACCTCCCGGGCTCTAGCAGTCCTTCCCCCTTGGCCTCCCAAGTAGCTGGGATCACAGGTGAGTGCCAACACACCTGGATAATTCTTTGGCATTTTTTAGAGACAGGGTCTCCTTATATTGCCCAGGCTGGTCTTGAACTCCTGAGCTCAAGCGATCCTCCTGCTTCAGCCTCCCAAGGTGCTGGGATTACAAGTGTGAGCCACCACACCTGGCCAGGTCTAGAATTCTTAATCCAGTCATCTTATTCTGTTTCCTGTCTGCCTGTGGGAAGTGGCAGGTAGAAATCTAACACCGGGACAATGATTATGTAAAGATTTGAGCAGTCTGGTCAGATGACCCAGCATGTCTGAAGCTTTCGCTGGCCCCAAGATGGCATCACTCGTGCGGGTTAGTTTTAGCTCTGCTTCAGCCCTCTGTCACCCTTCACTGGGTTCCGGAACGCAGTTTGCATTGCTGTACTAATGCTGTCAGAAACGCCTGTTTACTATAGATGCATCTGTGCCAGGAATCAATCTTTATTTTCATGGTGCTGTCCTAAGATTGGTCCATAGCCAAGTGGTCCGAGATGGCTTCCAAAGTCCAACTGCCTCATAACTGTCCCCGCCACTGCCACCGTGGACCCAAGCATTCAGCAGGCCCTGGGCAGACACTGCAAGGCAGCGTCAAGGCTGGTCTTTCTCAGGCGCCCTGGAAAGACGAGCGTCCCTGGTAAGATTTGGGTTCGCTTTTCCCACTCGTTGCCTTGTGCTGTCTTACACTTCTGGCATTGGGGAACGCAGGCTCTGCACGAGGATTCGGCCTAGAGGAAGCCAGGAAGAGGAAGCCAGGGGTGGGTCTAGCCGCCCCGTGGCAGGCTAGCTGCACTGCAGGTGGGGGGGGCAGCACAGCAGGAGATGGGAGGTCACAGTCGCACTGCTGCCGCCTGTCACACGAAGGTGGGCACCATCTGAGTGCTGGACAGAGATGGCTGCTTACTTCTTCTGCCCACACCACGAGCCCCCACCCCCACAGTGGGATGGGGGGGCTCCTCTTCAGGTCAGGAGGGTGAGGTAGGTGGACAAGGGTGGGCTCACATGAGAAGGGTGGCGATGCAGCCGGGCAGCACACAGGTGCCCAGCAGAGGGTGGAGGGAAGGAAGTGCTTGAATGGGGTGGAGGAGGACGGGTGAGGCCTCGTGCTTGCTTCCGTTCTGGAGTTCTGTGGGGGTAATTCAAGCACTTCAGTCGCTTTGTACAGAAGGAAATAATCCGGCCGGCCCGGCTCTGCAAGCTTTTCAGTTTGGGGCAGCAGAGGCGCAGCCAGGGCCCTTGCAGCAGGGCGAAGTGGCCTCCTATGGGCTCTGCTGGCCCCTCTGCCCTCAGCCCTGGCCTGCACCCGCCCATCTCAGGGCCCAGATGGGCATGGAACCACACGCAGCTGAAGCGGCCTGGGGACCCTGGCGCCTCCTGCTGAGAGCAGGCAGGTGTGAGGGCCAAGTGTAAGGCAGGAAGTCCAAATCTGCAGGAAACCGCCACCCTTGGAATCTCCATCCTTGGACTTGGGAATCTTTGTGGGAGCCCTGCTGTGTGCCAAAAATCCCTGCCACTCCTCCGTGGAGAGGGCCTGTGGGCCTGGCTCTGGTCCCCTGCCCAGCTCCAGCCTGGAGGCCCAGCTGCCAAAATCTAACTGCCTCCTAATTGTCCCCACAACTGTCGGGCTGGCGTGCCAGGCTCAACACAGCCTGAGTCCAACAAAACCAGGAGGGCCTCAAGTGGTGACACGCCAGGTCACCTGTGGGGACCCCAGCCCTGCTGCCCCCGCCACAAGGTGACAGTCAGGACAGGGCAGCTGGAGTCCTGGGCACCAGCATCTGCAGACCACATTTGCTTTCTCAACAAGGCCTGCAGAGAACTGTAAAGACTTTCCCTTCATACTTTATACACTTAAAGGGAATAATACGTTTCCCAAGTACACAAACAATCCTTAAACATGCCCGACCTTGAAGCCAGGCCTGGGGACTGGGCATGCCCCTTCCAGCCACCAGTCCCCTGCCCAAAGGTCCCGTTTCTAACCTGTGCCCTGCCGCCCCCACCTCCACAGCCTTCTGTCCCCCAGCCCTCCCTGCTGCTGTGGGTCTGCCTCCCCTGTGACTCCAAAGCCCTCTGCGGAGGGAGAACGGCCACACCCCGCCACACCCCACTCAGACACCTCCCCTACACCAAGGGCAGCCCTGAATACTGCACGGGGGTCTCAAATGGGTGTAAAAGGAGCTCAGGAAGAGGTCTGCATTGAACCCTGCTCTGAATATTACGGTAAGCTCCACTTTCCAGCTTGAATCTGCCCTTCTTGGGCTCCTTTGCCCCCCTGTGGCCCAGACCGGGCAACTGTGCCCATGGACTCGCTGCCCCATGCTCCCGCCCTTTCCTCTCCCTCCAGACTGCCCTCCCTCCTGCAGTCCACTGTCAAGTCAGGTGGCCTGGGGCTGAGCCGGGCCCACTGGAGAGCACCTGAAGAAAGGGCATCACAGATTTGTCTCAGCACGGAACAAGGAGAAGTAAACACTAATCTGGGAAATTTAGATTTTTTAAAAAATATATTGTTAAGTTTGGGAAGATGAGAAAAAAGAAGAAAGACCCAATTACTAGGTTACTTTCCAAGATAAAAGGGCTTGCGAGGACTTTTCCCCTGCCCAGCAGCCCGGCCAGCGCCACAGCTTCTTTGCAATGTTCCCATCCCAGCCCCACAGGGAAACAGGTTTCTTTTAGTAGGACACAAGGTGCCCACCTTATCGTTGGCGCTCAGGAAATAGCTCAGGGAGACAGCTGGGCACCAGAAGCTAAAATGACCGCATGGCCACTTCGAAGCCCGTGCTCAGAAGAGATGCTTCAGGCCTGCCCTGTGCCCCTCGCTGCCTCGCCAGGCTGGTCACTGACAAGCAAAGAGGGCTCCGAGGACACGCCTGTGTGTGTTCCTGAATGGTTTTTCAAATGAAAATTAAGCCACTACAAACTCTTCCCAACAAAATCACCTTCCCTTGTGTGCCCGCAAAAGCTAAAATCAAGGGATGGCTGGGAAGGACACATGCTGGACTCAGAGAATATTAGAATGAAATCGTGTAACGACAGCTCATGCTTTAATAAAAGTCAGGGGTCTCCAGTAGCATCCCTGGTAAGACGTGACGTGCTCCGTGACTGAGCAGCAGGCTGTGATGTGCAGGGGACGGGCAGAGCGCACCTCCCAACCGCGCCTCACCAGTACATCGCAGACAGTTCTGCTCATTCGTTCTGATTCATATAAGAAGTTACAAAATATTCCCTGCCCCTAATTCTTAGTTATGAAAACGGAAGAAAACCCTAGAAAGTGGTGGTTTTACAAATATATTAGCTCAGAACATCCAGGGCAGCTGCGTGGGCCGTGGGCATGGGGGGCCAGGGCAGCACCCAGAGCCTGGCCAGTGCGAAGCCACCGCAGGCGCAACCCGAGCCCTCCACGGCATCTCGGGAGCAGATCGCGCAGGCCGGCCAGTGTGTTGCTTCCAGGAAGTCGAGACAACCCCGCCGCTCAGTACCCTCCACCTTTCCGTGCTAGTGTGGGCAGGCGACACTGCTGCAGGCCAGGCTTAAGGTCCTTCCGTGGATCTGTCTGTCAAAGAAAAATTACAGACCAAAAATTGAGCGGCCGCCTGGGCTGGCGGGAGAGCAGCAGCGCAGAGAGGCTGTCCCGCTACCTTCTTGCTCGCGCCCATGAACTTCAAGGGTCTCAGCACCGGCACCTTCCCACTTGTTCCAGATCCAAGCTCCGACTGCAGCGTGGGGCTGGAGTAAGACGACAGTTTGGTCACCCCCGAAAGCTTTAGTTTGGGCAGTTCCATGGCGTAGGCCGGCCCTTGTCTCTTGGGATGGTCCTCCTCTTGCTTCAGTGACTGTTTCTTGAAAAAGAACAAAGGCCAGTTGGACATAAAACACTTTCCCCTTTTTGGAAATTAGGAAAAACGCAAGAGGCTCTTTTGTACTGCTTTTGCCTAATACAATTTCTTGACTGTGAGATGTGACTGGGACACATCTACCAGGTCCCAGACACCCCCAGGGAGTGGCTGCTCATTAGAGTCCCGCGCGGAGGCCAACACCAACTGCGGAGCTGAGGAGCCAGTGCGGGTGGCAAAGCATTTCCGGGCAGTGGCACCCACCCCTCCTCCTGCTCCAGGGCCTCACACCCTGATGAGCCTGCCGCCTGCTTTTGGGCAGCTTGTGAGCTAAGGACGGTTTCACTTTTTTTTTTGAGACATAGTCTTGCTCTGTAGCCCAAACTGGAGTGCAGTGGTGCAGTGTTGGCTCACTGTAGCCTCAGCTTCCTAGGCTCAGAGGATCCTCCTGCCTCAGCCTCCCAAGTAGCTGGGACTACAGGCACACACCATTACTCCAGCTAATTTTTAAAACATAGATGCGGTGGCGGGGGGAGTGGTCTCGCCTGTGTTGCCCAGGCTGGTCTCAAACTCCTGGCCTCAAACGGCCCTCCCTTGGCCTCCCTGAGCACTTGGCTTACAGGTATGAGCCACTGCACCCAGCCGGTGTTTATATTTTTTAATAATTCAAAAAAAAGTTTCATGGCATGTGAAAATTATGTGAAATTCAAATTTTGGTGTCCCCAGTTCTACTGGAGCGCAGCCCCCACGTGGTTCATGTGTTGCTTCCAGCTGCTTTCACACTGCAGCAAGGTGGGGAGTGTAACAAACACCCCAGGCCACGGGGCCTCAAATGTTTCCTATCAAAGGATCTGCCCTTAGAGAAAAGCATGCGACCTCGGATGAGACTGAGGGTGGGGACTTGGGTGAATGCCAGCTGGGAGTGACATCAGGGTTTGAAGCAGATCCTCTGTCCAGGAGGTAGTGGAGGCAGGGCAGGGACAGTAGTGAGGAGGCCATCTGTGGTGACTTGGGCAAGGTGAGGAGGCAGGAGGCCAGAAGGCACAGCCCCTGTGGATGACGGAAGGGTCCACAGGGGGCCTGGGCAGTTGACATAGCTGCCTCCCTGGCGTAAGGCCATGGGAAGCTTCAGGGAGAAAGCATGTTTGGGGGAAGATCAGGAGATGAGGTTTCAGCAAGTTTGTGTTTTGGACATTCAAGTGGAGCCGTAATCGGTGGCCGGCAGGACACAGGAGCCTTGCTTTCTGGAGAGCAGCCTGCTGCAGCTCTGGGTTGCAAGGTCCTAAGCGGGCAGGGAGCACTCGGTAAAGACTGGGAGGAGCGAGAGAGGCAGGGAGGATGGGACAGATGAATGATGGAAGGGCACATGATCACACAGTTGGGGTGCCACCCCAGCACTGGGAGACTGGGGCGACGCTACCAGCAGATGCCACAGGGCTGCACTGGGCTAGGATGCCACACGGTAGGTGGGAAGGTGATGGCACTGCACAAGGAAGCTGGCATCTCTCAATCCAAAATGTGTACAACCTCCGCTGATGGGACAAAGTGCTCATCCGGGCCAGGCAGACAGCGTGGCCTGCCTAGGATGTGGGGCCTGTCACTGGCTAGGTGGGGACTTGGGCCAGTGCTGCATCTTCTTGGGGCCTCTCTCCAGGGCCACTGTGAGGGCACAGTGAGGTGATGTCTGCACAGTGCCTTGGCATAGAACCTGGCACCTGCATGTGGTCATCAGGCAGACACAAAAGCTCGTCAAGGGTCCCCTCTCCAGCCTGCTCACATGGGATTTTCGTCATCAATCCTGAGCTACTGGGGCAGAAAGGGCTTAAGCAAACACAACGGGGTTCCCTGCCGTTCCAACACACGGAGCCATCCACTCGCATGCTGTTCAGGCCTCGACTGACACCGTGGTCTGCCAAGGCCTCCACGGGCGGTGTCCTCAGAGAGACGCGGGCCACCCCAGGGTGTCCAGTCCCCGCTGAGCCAGGCAGTCTCCGGCTCCAATTTCGTTTAGTACCTGCTTTCTGCTCTCCTTTGAAATCTGCCAGCTGTTACTGAGTGGTTCTGGTGCCACAGGGTGCTCTGAAAAGCAAACTTTTCTGTGGCTGCCCAGAGCCCGCTTCTCTGTTTTCCTACGAGGAAGGAGAAGAGAATGGAGCGGCTCCACTGAGAACCGCGGAGCACACAACCTGTTTAGCTTCTTTGTCTCCAGTTTGTCTACTGTGTGAGTTGTCACTAGCTCTTCTTTTCCACATGAGCTGTAATCAGAAGGCTTTTTTTTTCTTTTCTTCCTCAGCCTGACAGTCTCTGGGCCAGGAGCAGAGCTGGCTCCATGAACCACAGGCACTGCCTACCCAGGGACTCGCAGTTTGGGATAAACTGTCACCTCCACAGTTACACACACAGGAGTATACGGAGATATGGAACTAGAGGATCTCAGGGCAGACACGTCTTAGATTTGCATCCAGCAGGCACTGTAGTGCCAGGAAACATCCAAAATGCTCTAACATCTCAGAAGGCGCTCACACCATTTACAAGGGCTGCACGCCAGGCTCTTCTAGAAGGCTTACCTGTAGCCTCAGCACCAACTGCAAGTGGCCAGCCAGCCCCGTCTCCCCCTGCCGTGGAGCTGACAACAGCCTCATTTGGGGAGGATACACGAGAACACAGCACGGTGGGGGCCCCAAGAGGCCCTGATCACTCTTCAGGATAGACAGCAGGATTCCCAAGAACCAAGAACCCTCCAGAGGGCAGTCCCTCGCCCAACCGTGTGCCCATGGGTCCCACCTGCCAGGTCCTGCCATCCTCCCCACAGAACCCAGGAGAGCACCTACCTCTGTTCTTGGAAGTAGGGGTGCTGCAGGGCCTGGTGGGCGGCGATTCTCTCATCGGGATCATAGGCCACCATTGCATGCAGGAGGGAGAGGCATTGTGGGGACAAATTGGTTGTCAGTAGAGGTATTCCTGATCCCTTTTTAAAAGGAAAATCAAAATTCATAGCTCTCGACCTGTATTAAAAGCCCAATGATAATAAACGGTCATGCTGTCACCGACTGCACCGCGGCCCGCCGTCAGGACTGAGGGCCCTGTGCGGAGGGGAACTTATGGCTCAGAGTCTATGGCTGTCCCAGCCCACTGTATGTGCGCCACCAAGAGGGACCCCTGAGGTGAACGATGGGCTGTTCGTGGTTCATCGACCATAACAAACACACCACTCGAGTGGGGTGCTGACAACAGGGAGGCTCTGCACGCATGAGGACAGGCCTGTATGTGAAGCTAAAGCTGCTCTTAAACGTCTATTAAAGTAGCCTGTTATAAAAAGGGGATCTGTTATGCTATAAATGTCAGAAAACTACCTTTCCTGTAAAAGACTAATACCACCTTCCTGCATGAGAAGAATGAAATAAAGTTTCATGAAAAAAGAAGAGTCCAAAATTGTCACCACCTCCTCCCTCCCTGAGATCACTTGCCCCCTCAGCCCACAGGCCCTTTCTGGGAAGTCCCGACTCCCCAGCCTCAACTCCATCAGAATGACTCCTACGAGTCCGGGAACACCTCTTCCGGGGCCGTCCCGCCAGCAGCACCACGGAGGGCTGCAGAAAGCCCTTACCCACTGCGCCCCTGCGGTCTATGCATTTCCACCCAAAGGCTTCTAAGTTCTGCTTAAACCATTCAGGGAACAGAGCATGACTCCCTGCCCCTCAGAAGGCTGGTGACAAATCTCTGTGATGCTCAAGGAACAGCTCACCTTTGAGACCCCCCGAGTAATGGGCTCTGTCTGAGCAGCCACTCACTGGCCATGGAGCGGCTCGCCCTGACGCAGGTCCTGGCAGGGGAGTGAGTCCACGTACACTCAGAGCACAACACTCACTGTTTGAACTTGGTGAGGGTCTTCTGAGCAGGTGTGCCGATGACATCGTGGATTTTTGAGATTTGGTCCAATTCATTTGCTCCAGGGAAGAGGGGCTGCAGACTGGAAGGGCATGACAAGGGGCACCGAGGTCATTACATGGCCATGGCCTCTCCATTCTGCCTGGTTCCTCCCCCACCCCACCTGCCACCCACAGACAGGCTCACTCACACAAAACACCAGGAACTGTGCCTAGCTGCTCGTGCAGACCCTCACCGCAGGGAGGCGCCACTCTCCCTTGTGCTCCTTCTTTGTTTCCACTTTACCAACAGGTCCGACGTGCTTTTTTTTTTTTTT